AGAAATCAGAGTCTCACACAGGTGGGAATGATTGAGCTTTGCTTATTTAGATACCTACAATTTCATTGATGTTAAGATTGCTCCTTGAAAAGTCAAATCCAGCATTACTTTACACACTGAGGTGACATTATTCTATTTTATTTAGTTAGAAAACTTACTTTGCATCATTAACAAATTAGTTTCATCGAAATAAGAAATAAATCGATATCATCATCATCGATATCAACGGAACGCTGACAGGCGGCCGCCATTACGAAAAGTATCTTTGACTCGACAGACGAGTTTTTGTTTTGTTTGGATTTGTAGTGAAAGATCTCATAATATAATTTATAACAGCCACCGGAGTCTCATTTCTGTGTCTACTTGGTAAATCTCCTACGCGTTGATATTATAAAAAGTTCAATAGAGCTACTAATGACAGACTTTTACGAACATGATGTAGTGACTAGAATTGTAACAGATATATCGCTATTTTTAACATTTATCAGGTAAAGCAGGAAATGGACGCCGAAAGAGGTGAGATTTGGGACAGTTTATTTTATTAACAACGATTCTGTAATCATAAGTACTACATGCATGTAAGCAACACACTTTTTCGTATATTTTATAAACGATATATGTATCTATGTATATATGTATCTATCTATCTAAAAAAAACGTGAAATTTACATTGGACGCAGAATATGCACGAAACGGAAGAAACACCCATTTACGTGTGTACCACGTGCTGTGCAAACTTTGCGGACGGTTACACAACTGAATTAGAACCTGCTCTTTGTTCTACAATGTGACGTCTCGCCTCGTCGTCACGTCGCGTTGCTCGGCAGTCAGGCTTCGTACCGGACACTCACTGCTTGTCGTTCACATTTAACTTGCGACCTATCTCTGTATGTGCTATAAATGTGTTTCTGTTAGCTTTTTTTTACCTGCATTGTTACTTGTATCTATCTTCTCTGCCGTGACCATCGTGACTTTCTGATAGTGACTATTGCCTCCTTCCGCGTTGTATTGTAGAGAGAAATCCCCCTAGGCCTTATGCCTCAGGGACAGCGGAAAGGTTATTCTACGGGCTAAAACCCCACGGTAGCCATCTCGTGTGCTGTAGTGGTAGTGATCCGGGATCGGCTTTGCGCACCGGAACCGTCCCAGAACCTGAGAGGGTTTCTTTAAACTTAATTTACATCATATTTCGGAATCCATGGCAAATGAAAACGTAAACTTTAAATTCATTATAACGTGCATACGTTCATGCGTACCTCATTTTGGCGGGCTATGGAACGCCAGAGTTAAGTCATTTAAATATAATTTCGTAAGAGTTTTAGGCAATTCCCATTCCACATTTAAGGAACTGTATATGACTTTAGCTCAAATAGAAACTCTGGTGCATGCGATCTCACATCATTAACGCCAAGTCCCTTCTTGACCGCTTTACCAGTGCCAAAGCTAGACGACGTCAATCCGATGAAACTACAGATGTGGAATCGAGAATTCGCAAGCCCTTCTGGATAAGGTGGCAAAAGGAATATGTCTCAGAACTGCAGCGTAAAACAAAGTGGAGATAATTTAAGGGCCGCCTAGACAAAGGAACGATCGCTATCATCGGGGAAGACGCACTACTTCCCATTAAGTTTTGTCTTGGGCGTATCATCGTCGTGTATCCAAGAGTTGACAGCAAGAGCAGAGTCACAGATATACGTACAAATAAAGACCTTCAACCGAATCTGTCTTTTAACGCCTGGGGGCGCCGTGGGGAACGGGCGTCCTAATAAGCGCTCCGTCACAATTTTTTAAAATTTCTCTTCAACAGTCGCCGATAGTGCGCATGCTTTTTTTTATAATATACAAATTAAATTTCAGTTAAATCATGTAACACGTTCACCTTTCGTTATCACCTTAGTTCATAAAGTCAAAGTATTCATAATTATAAAGGTATCTCGACACTCGCGCGCGATACACGCGCGATACCGCGAACTACCCGCGAAGCATGACTGGGGATCCGATTCGCATATTTTTCGCGCTTTCGCGCCGCGTTGGCGCCTCGTTCCCGATTGTTGTCGATATTTAGTCTCGCGACAAAGGGTTTGTGAATATCTCCATATTCGCGTGCGACTCAATTGCTGATAAGCAAGTGCTGTGGACGGTTGTGTTTGTATCTTTATTGTTGACGATTAAAATTTGAATTTGCTTCAAATGGCCGTGAATTGGGCAAATGAACTAGATCTGACACTTTTGGATTGTTTTCGTGCTGAACCCGTATTGTGGGCTATCAAAATAAAGAAATTTAAAAATAAATTCAAAACTCATGATGCAAGGATGCGGCGTCCATCTTGGTCAAGCGCACGAACTATACTGTGAACCAGTAGCGAACCTCTGGGAGTGTGGAACTTGGCAGTTCTTGCCGCGATCCGCACCTTGAATCGCGCGCGAGTGTGGAGAGGCCTTAAGTGCTTATCTCATATCACCACTATTTTATATGGATTTGAAGGCTTTCGTGGTTATTCACTAAACGATTATCACTAATTACAGGTTTGTTACCACGATGTGATTTCTTTTTATTTTCCCGCTATTTCAGAACGGTTACACGGTTGGAGTCAACCCGTGATTATGGAGCGTGAAGCGTGTAACCGTTCCAAAATACCGGGAATATAGTAAAATCAAAGTTTACAAGTCAGTTACAAGTGTTTTTCAGTGTGGGTATTACGATAGAAATAAATAAGAACACTTTGTTAGGAGAATCCAAATTCGTTTAAAAATAAATATTATAATCAAGAAATATGAGTAAAAATAATCTGTTGGAAATTGTACCATTCACCAAGGAAGAACAGGAGGAATGCAAGAAACTTTTTACCAGTAAGTGTACAATGATACCTTATAGCATATAATAATATCTATCTAAAAAAACCGTGGTTGCTTAATGGATTGATCTACCGGCCTCTTAAACAGAGGCAATTTATTTTTTTAGTGATTTGGGTTCCGTTTCGGATATGGAATAACCTCTATAAATATGGCGAGAATGCACAATAATAAACTAAAGTCATTTCACAATAAATATATGAATATCAATGTGATTAAACATTGTTAAATTCAATAAACAAATCATTAACAAACAAAAAATTAAAAGTTATCGAATGATTTCGTTAAGAGTATTTAAACCTTTCTCCTGAAAAGTTATCATATTGCAGATTTTTACTATTTTTTTATTTTCATGTTTTATTACAAATGACGGGATGAACATCCCGTCTCCGTCCGTCACCCGGAGACATAAGTTGACAAGGTCCCATGTGGCTGTAATTTGACCAATATTTTTAACCTAATGGCATAATGAAGTAATGTTTTTCAGCTGATATCACCGAGTACCTCCACGTGTGCCCTACCCGATGCGTACTAACGGAGGCGTACGGGCTGCATGCGGCGAACATTTACAACATGCCCTTACGCAGCGATGACATCGTTGTCACCTCGTTTCCGCGGTCAGGTTGGGACAAGTATATCGACGGTTAAAAGGCGAATTGTTTCTAGCGACATTTTATCCGCATCTATTAATCTATGTTTCACCTCAATTGAAACACTTTTTTGGCGTTTAATTCCGTCGCGAATTCAGGGGTCATTTCCTACATCATGGTGTCAAGCGAGACAATTTCTCAGTTTTTTTTTAGCTAGGAATATGAGTCTTACTTTAATAAGTTCATAATTCATGTTCATGTCTATTTCCGCCGTTTCTCCTTCTATTTTTTGTAGGAAACGTCTTTTAACTTTTCTTGTCTAGTCCAAAGTTGATTACGATTGTACCATAAAGCATTTTGCTTCGTAAATATTTTATAACTTACGATATTTGAATTGTTTTAACGTCGCTTGAATACTTTTATTTTGAACCGATCCCAAGGAGCACACTTATAACTGTTATATCTTTATATAGTCTTAATATGGTATACATTTAGATAATAGTTCTCTATAAATGGTTTTAGAAAAAAGAAATTGTTCTTATAGACTTATTTCACTCAAGTCAAAATTTTAACACCTTCTTAATACCAAACAACTAAATAAGTGTAATCTCTCTTAAGATTTACTCTTATAGTCCTTATTTTAAGGTCATCTGTAGAACAACTGATTATTTTTAATAAAATTGTTCTATACACTTATCCAGTAAAGCCTATTAATACTCTAAAAACTAGTGTTCTTAAGTCTATTCTAGATATATTTAATTTATAGACATTCTGTAGTGTTTGTACTTATTGACAAACACGTTGTAGCGCGTCTTCAGCAGATTTTATTTTTAAAAACACTACAATTAGGGTTTATACTCTATTGGAAGTTGTAAGAGTTTATACAAAATGGATAAAGTAAAGAATATTAAAAGATCTGGTGGAGGTGGTGAACCTTGAATATTAAGTCACATCATTCGATACAATCAGCGTTGCCAATGCCAATTGTTCAAAATCCCCAAAAATCACTGTATAATAATAATAATAATAACAATCACTTGTTTGAAATAAACTTAGGGTCGTATTCTAGAACTCTACTCAATGCTTAAGTCAGGATTGCACTGGAAAAACGACCCTAATGTAATAATAATAACGCACACACTCAACATAGCCCCGCACTAGGCAAACCCAGTGTCGCGGGTGCCATGGACACACACGTAGACAACCACAAATTACATCCAAACTCACGAGAGAAATAAATGTAGGCCATACAAATATTTCTCCCGACCCAGGAATTGAACCTGGGACCTCTGTGCATGGCAGTCCGGCATGGTAACCGTTCGGCCACGGAGGCAGTTATATTATTATAGGCAGTTAGCAGTTAGTAGTTTAGTTGTAGGCAGTTATATATAATTAGATTCAACATTAATCTGTAATCAGTCTGAACAAAAAATCATTTTTCTTTGCCTTCCAAAATTAAGTAAATTGATTATTTGTTGACACTATGTTAACGTTAGAAATAATCAATGAGTTTCGACCTATATTTAATATTTAAAGTTGACGAGTGGTAAGTTGTGGTGTGGAAGTACTAACTGCTCGGCTTTGTTTATCAATAGCTGATTTCGTTTTGCTTTATACCGGGGACCGGCCTAAGCGGGAGAAAGAATCGCGAACTCAACACGCACCGACTGGTAATTTTACAATTCCGAACCAAGTGCTCTAATAATAATTCTATTTAAGCTGCTTGTTAATAATACGAGGGATGTGCGATGTTGAATAACACGTCGATATAGTCCATCACAGTGTTTCTAACAGTAACGATCAAACTAGCGATGCATCAGCAATTGATTATTAAAAAAAAAGATAAAATGTTAGAGTCCCCACATTTTCCTCACATAGCGCCAATCCCCACAAAATCCCCAATCTAGTTGAAACTCCCCACAATTTGGGATATTCCCTACAAATAGGCAACGCTGGATACAATAGTCGTAAATCGCGCTCGGGCCGGTCATGGCCGGTGTTTTTTAACCGTGGCCATTTGTTTGTTGACAAATAAATAAACATTGTGAAGTAATTCCGTGTTGTGAAATGATAAAAACAATTGAAATGAGCGCCTAAACTATGTAATGAAAATTTTATTTCTTCCATCATAAGTTAGGTATGTCATTAAAATATTCTTTATATTTAAACGATAGGAAATGTATCCACTTTTCTAGTCATATTATAACACATTCCATATAATTATACAGAATAACGTTTTTTTTGCGACAAATTGGATTTTTTCCAATTGTTTTTTTGACCTAGTGTTTTGAAAAGTTTTTTATTGCATAAAACGCTCTCTTTTTCTTATAATCTTATAAAGGTTTTGTAATACTGTCAAAAGAAAAAATCGCATAGAAACATCCGGATTTGTAGACAATCATAAAAATCTCTTAGGAGGAATATTCTTCGACAAGTTCAACTACACTAAAGCAAGTAAAAATAATATTTCCATATTTAAAGTTTTTCTATAGATAAAGCTATAGACGAAATGCTCCCAACTGTGTTTAGCTTTAAATTCTTATCGCCATTTTTATTTTTAAAGAATGACTATGAAGTAGCCGAGAAAAATTTATTTTCTTTTTAAAAAGTAAATCTAAGCTGAAATTAGCTTGAAGAAGCCTAGAACTTCTTGGAAATGGTTTGTTTTGTGAGTTATTTTGTATATTTAAGCTTTCTATAAATATTTAAAACAGAAAAACCATATTACACATATACAAACTGTATTTTTATGAAGTTATTATTTTATACATAAATATTTAAAATTTAGCGAGCGCATTACTTTTATGAAACGTTTTACATCACTTTTCACAATGTATTTAAAGTCGCACGTCAATTTGCGCTTTCTAACCGATTAAACATTGCGCGAAAAAGTCAGAAATATTATATCTAATTTCGCTATGTTGCAATTTTGATAGTTTATATTTTGTAAGCCATTAAACTTGAAATCTATTAGTATTAAAAGAATTGCGTTCTATGTTTGTAACGCTTTAGTATTTTGGTTTTAAAATAGCATTACTAAGAAGACTATAAATTATCTAAAAACTATCTACAAGACTAAACAAAAACTGTCTACATTTTACGAATGGTCTTATAGCATTCTAGAAGGGTTACTTCAGAAAAAAGATAAGAATCACTGTTAACACTACCTAGTTTCTCAAAGCATTCTTGTGATCTACTAATAACGTTGTGCCCACTTTTACTTTAAATTATCTAGAAACCTTCTTCTTGTACGGCTACAGTATGTGATGAAATCATGTTCCGACCTTCAACTTGCTACGATATGATATAGTTATTGATCGTGGTATTCAATGACACTAAAGCGTCTGTGGTAAGTAGGTTACACGGATGTATATTTATTATACTTACATTTATTTTCGAATGTACTCAATGTACAGCTTAGTACTTCTTTTTAATTTAAATTGGGTTTATTCTGTTTCCAGATACACCAGGGTTTTAACCAGGTTTTTACCGGGGTTAAATTGAATTTGGTATAATTCCATACTTATTACAAATTTCGATGTAAAAAAATCTTTTTTAGACGAAAAAGTGCAACTCTACACTATAACCACCTTGCGAACCTGTGGATTCTCACTTCTACGTAAGGAATAATCGATTCGATTTTTACGAAAATCGATTCAATGCATACGTTACACGATGTAACGATTTATTGTACCGATTTATTTCAATACGATTTTCAAGCGGATCGATTCAATAGAAAGGCAAATCGGATCGTCTAGACCAGAAAGCAATAAACATTTAAAATATCATTAAATTGGAACAAAATTCAATTTACAACAAATTTATGTTTAATACGTTTAGTTGTACATAGTTTTTACCCTCGATATTGGGCATTAATGGGTTTTAACGCTATTTAAGCCCAATTATTATTAGGTGTTAACAAAGCGCTGGGTTAAAACCCGGGCGCTTGCCTCTACTTTGTTGTGTACGCATTCTTACTTGATGGAAAGTTAGTACAGGGTCAACAGCATCCCCCCGAATGGGTTCCCGCCTTGTCGTGGTGGGGGACTCTAGTAACCATGGTCGATTTCATCCCACGGTGAGGCTTAGAGGAACCCACCCGAAACGATCCAAAGTACACAAACATACAAACTGTCAAGCTTGACGTGCTCGTGACTGTACGTGGTCGGACAATGGTACTTAGAAGACGCATGTTCCCTCTGTTGTTATTATTTTAGACGACCCCCTGTGGCCCAATGGTTAGCAGCGTAAACTCAAGTTGCATTTTACATTCCATATTGTCTTGTTGTCCAAAACTCTCAATTCTAAGAGCGTAAATATTAAAACTTAAAATCAACAAAAAACCTAGAGGCGTATAAGAACAAGTCGTCACATCGGAGATCACATAGCTTTACAGAGTTATCGATACCAATAACTGTAATATATTCCTTGATTAGTAAATTTCTATCATTGAATAATATTAAATATTGAATATTCATCTTTTTTCTTTACTGTTTTTCAGGAACTACATGGACGCAGGAGCTAGTGTGGCTGATAACAAACGAATTAAACTTTGAAAAAGCAAAATCTGTGCCGCTAGTAGACAGATACCCACTTCTGGAGTGAGCAATTTCATATTTTTATTAATTTTTCACATCTTATCATTGCAATAAAAAACAATGAAACCATCTTATCATTGCAATAAAAAACAATGAAACAAAAGATAAAAGTAAATAGGATATTAAGCCTCGTCAGAAGATATATTATCAGAATTTGAAGTCGTACTTCGGGTCGTCAATCCCACAGAGTTTAAAAACAAAGGCATTCAGGCGTGGACTTTTACAACAGGCCTCATCCCCAAATTTAAAATCGTTTACCATGGAGGGAGTTCCGCTCGGGGTTCTCTAACGGACCGAATTCCTAATGAAGTCATGCGTCAAAGAACTATAAAGTAACCGGCATAGCTCGCAAAATGGAAGTGAACCGGAAAATATCTGCCTCCTGATGTTGATCGGATACTACCCGATCGGAATCGACCGATCAGGTAGTCTCGAAATTAAATGGATTTCTGAGCGGAAAGATGAACCTGATTCCTACTATATCTTTCTAATTTGTGAGTTAAATCAACCATTCCGATTAGAAATATCAAAAGTTTCCGATTGACCAGTTGTGAATCGCAATTATGCGCCTTGAGTCGGAAAAGACGCAGTTTCCGATCGGGAGAGGCAATCCAAACCAAGTTGCTGTAGGAGGACAGGTAGCCGATGAAGCAGACTTGTTTTTAACCGACTACAAAAAAGGAGGAGGTTCTCAATTCACTGTCACTGACTGTATGTTTTTTTTATATATGTTACGCGATAACTCCGGTATTTGTGAACCGATTTTGAAGATTCTTTTTTGTTGGAAACAGGGTACCTCCATAGTGGTCCCATTTACCTGTAAGGGTGGCTGTTCACGCATGAAGATTCATTTTTATAAATAGCGCCTAAATTTTATTAAAAGGAGTAATTATTTTAATGTTTGGGTTTGCTATTCTCCAATTCAAGGCGTTTTTCTCTCAATATACTTTGAGTAGTGAGAACCGATTTTTTTTATTTGTAAGTGAACCAATAAGCTAAAAATAAATTACATTGCATTCCAGGACCTGAAGGGGAAAAGGGCGCGTCGCGTAGCTAACTTTTTCGGTAAAAGTTACAGCGAGGAACAGCTGGACCAGCTGTGTGACTACTTGAGCTTCGAGAACTTCAAGACAAATGAATCTGTAGATCTGAAATATCTTCGCGATACAGGCATTTGTGATACGCAAAAGAAGAGTTTCATCAGGAAAGGTGAGAAAAAATATCTATAATATGCAATAAAAGTTAAATTGAATGTTATTTATTACAAATAAATTTTTTCAAGGTTTATCAGTATGAAATTGTTAAAATTTCATCAACCTTAGCGTCGCATGATTTTTTTTTGTATACAAAAGCGCATTTGAGTTATAGGTGTAGTGTAGAGTTATAGGTATTTATAATTTATAACTTATAGCACATATCAAACATAATGTAACAGAATTCGGTTTATTGTTTACGTAATGTGCTTTACGAAAGGGTTAATGTTAGCTAATATTATTGTTGTTTTCTAATTATTACAGAAACGATTTAGTAGGCTATATACGAATCACATTAACTAGTCTCGATAATGGTTTCTTTGTAAGTTTACAATAGTCACGTCAGTTTAATATCTCAATATGAGTGAGGTCGCAGAGAGTGGGGCGCTGGTGTTATTTGAATCTGTTCAGTTTTTAATCCACATAACCCTATTAAAATAGTTTACTGACGTCATCCTATGACATGGTGGTTGTTGGTAGGGTTTGCCATTCGAAAATAAAGAATAAAGTTGATGATCAATACTTTATAAACAAGCGTGCATTGCGAAGATAAGCATTTTGTGTAAGTTATTTGAATAGTAAACAAGCGCGGCCGCTCTCTGTGGATTTGCCGTGTGATTTGTCGTTTTAAACGGATCTGTCTTTCGAACTAATTACTGTGGAAAAACAGATAAAAGAATTGATTGCAATCAACTCACGTTATTATTTCACCGCCGGCTGAACGAATTGATAGCGAACATTGAATAGGCCAATTATTATCAATACACGAACGTTTCTTATTTAATTCCTGATTAAATCAGCGACAAATTAAATATATACCGATATATTTAAAATACATAAATAACATAATTTGACGACCTCGGGGGCTTAACGGTTTACACTGTTGGTACTGGATGCAGAGGTCCCGGGCTCGATTCCCTGTAGAACCAATTTGGGAAATCAATTTTTCTAACTGGTCTGATCTGAGTGTTCTGTTCAAGTGCCCCAGACAGAATTTCGTTGCTCTGGTACTCATAGCACAAGGAATTCCCTAGTTTGAGACCAGGGGGCCTACCATAACCGTTCCAAAAAACAATCTTATTTCAATGTAAGCTTAAAGTAAGCTTATTATAATATTACTCACATTCATCCCGTGACAAACCTGTCAACCAAGTAATGTATTATTGCTAAAGTGATTGAAAGAACGAATGATTTTCCAATATTGTCTATTTCTTACTAAAAATAGGAAAGAAGTAACGCTATATGAACTATATAATGCCATCTCTTTCTTTTCTGATGTTCCGAATCGTCATATCGTATAATATAAAAATAAATATATCGTATAATGTTTAAGTACTTTATGTTATTTACATTCAGAGAATTTTAACTGTTAAAAAAGAAAAGTATGTAATAATAAATACTATTAAAATTACGTTGTTTACTATTATTTTTCCGCATTTTCACGAAGAAAAATAAATAGAACAAGTTGCGTCTTGATAGTCACGTTTTGAATTCGGAATTATAGTTTTGTGTCCAACTGTTAGTGTCGCCAAGGAGCATGTAGATGTCGCTGTTATAATTTTACGAAATAAACATCGCGTATTTTTATTTAACGATAAATGATTTCCCATGTACTATAAAATAAAAAGATAAGCAAATTACTGAAGAGATATATGTAAATAAATAAGTTCAACTTAACTTTTAATCATTACAAATCAATATTTAGACAATAAATTCGAAAATAATATTGTTTCCACTGCGTCCGAGTAACTGTTTGAAGATTGTAAAATTTGACATAAGAACATATCTATAATATTACAGTCGCGTCATAATACGAACTGAGTGAGTGAATAGTCACAAAGACGCCAATAAAACATCATAATTTTAACATTATAATAAGCTTACTTCAAGCGCGTCATGGTACGAAAAGTCAATGCAAGGTGAAAGTAATATTGTTTTAAGAGGTTGTGGTAGGCTCCCGGGCGTTATTTAAACAGTTATCAAGATAATACGAGATCAACGCGGTGAATTGTTACAGGCAAGTCAGCGGTTGGCGCGAGTACTTTGAAGGAGAACTAGCGGTGCAGGTTCAGAACTGGATAGATGAGAACCTGCGGGACACCGACTTGCGCTTCCCATCACTTTAAATATTTTTAGTAGCGGTATTAGTACTAAATGATCTGTGGTATCCGTTAATTCAATTAAGTGTAGAGGTTATCATTTTGTTCTGTCTAGTTTTGTTATTTAGGCTCAATAAACGTATCTACACTATCGCTTGTCGTTTTGATCAGTCTGAAAGTACGTGGTTCGTGGCTATTCACTTACGTACAGGTAGTTTATCACCGTATGGCATCTTGTTATTTCCCTTGCCATTCACTTTGCCTTAATAACTTATTATTGCGTTTGGATATTTGTCTATAAGCAATTTGTTAGTATAATAATAAAATGCATATATATATCACGCCAGTCTCCTACCGGCGTAGGTAGAGACTATGAACCTCCACCTGTCACGCTCCTGACAAACCTCCTTCGCCTCCTCCTCTCCCTTTTAACTCCCACTCACCACCAATAGTGGCAGTAACTTGCTTTGACGAACTTTTTCTTTGTCTATAACATTAAGTCACGGGACGAACAAGTTGTGCACCTGATGGTAAACTATACGCCTGTCATAATGTACGTGACAGTTACAGTGCCACTCAGAGCTTCAAATTGCAAAGATCAGTTGAGTCTTCCATTGCAGTTTTCCACAAAAATAATAAAAGAGCATCAGAATAAGATATAGGTTCACCGTTCAATTCACCACTCTGTATCGCCGAACAACAACAGACAGAACAGTAACTTACAGGTTTTATCTCCCTTAAATTGTATCTTTTAATGGGTTCCACAGGTGTCTCTTCTTCCTCAACTGGTACTGTCGAAATTGTAAGGAGAGGATAGGCCAAGTCTAAGGGTAGTAGCGCAGCAGCAGTGCTTGTACTCGCTACAGGATCAACTGAACTGCCTTGCACCTGAGGTACAGTGCCCCTCCTAGTTGTCACGGACACAATAAATGAAAAGTGGCTGCACATCGTTTGTTGCGTATGCTCCATCTGCCTATTATTTTGTAATCTGAGACTTTGACAAGCTGAATCGTCACCTATCTTATCGTTTGAGAAGCAATTCTCTAACGATAAGATAGGGGACGATAAATATATAATGCATAAATAAAAAATAAATATACCCGCAGCTCTTTAATAGTTTTTTTTTTATATTGGTGGGATCACGAAACCTATACGATATATTATCGTCGCAATAGCCAACGAATATGTACGGATTTGCTTTAGTGTCTAACATTTGGCGATTTCAAGACGGTACGTGAACGTATGAACGACAACAAAATATTCGTAAATGACAGAGATTTTGTTTTCTATTATACCACATCTCATATGGAGTACGATTACGTAAAGCTCTGTGAGGGCATCTATTTTTCAAATAAGCAGCGGTAAATACCGCATTTTTCCGACTCTAACACTAAATTTCGACAAGCGCGACTCCGACAACATGTTACATCGACATGATTTTACTCAGACACTACGCTACTCCGACAAAATGTTACATCGACATGATTTTACTCAGATACTACGCTACATCGACAACACAGACGAGGTGTTTATTAAAAAAATAATCTTTGTACTCTGATAAGAAAAATCATCATTACAAACCCATCTAGGTAATGGCTTCTTATTATATATCGATCAATATAAGAAAAAAAAAAACAAAATCAGATATTCGAAAAATTCTTTTGTTAGTTATATAAAGTGTAACAAAAAACTATTAAGTTTTCGCGATTGTTGCACATAGGAAATGAAACTATTTTTCTGGATTTAAATGAAAAACTATTTAATTTAAATGTAAATTTTTAATTACTACACAATGTAAATTTCTACACTATTTCATGTACGTACAAAAATCTGATTACAGTAAACAGAAAAAACATAAATTATTATTTTCGGGACGGAAGAAAATTTGAAACTGCTTTTCGAAGCATAATTTTGGATAATGGATTGGACGTTTGAAATAGTATATTTTATTTTATTTTAATAAATTTTTTTGTTTCACTTTATAACTCTGTTAAACTCTGTACACAGAGTGGTTTTTTTAATGGGACAATTGGGGCAATCCGAAACCATAGAAGATACAAGAAAACTGTCTTAGGAACCATAAAGTTTTTTTTATGAAATCAATTTCGGCATATTTTTATTTTAGTCAAGCGTGGGTTGTCCATAATAATTAATAAAATTGATCAAAATTTTGTTTGTGCTGATCGACTCAGAGTTATGAAGGGATCATTTCATTGTATAGGACGAAAAAATCGGGGCAGCAGAAGTTGATCAAATTCCATAAAATAATTTTCATACAAAATAAATAAAATTGACAATTTTAGTTGAAGTGACAAAGTTTTTTTTATATGCTTATGCCCGACGAAAAATACCTGAACAGCAAAGTTGGCCAAATTTAATAAAAAAAAAATTCATTCTCAATTAATAATGTCTTATTAAATTTGACGAACTTCTGCCGTCCCGATTTTCTTCGTCCTATAAAATGAAGCGATCCCTTCATAACTCTGAGTCGATCAGCACTAAAAAAGATTTTGATCAATTCTATTTGTTTTTATGGACAATTCACGCTTGACCAAAAAATTGACTATGCTAAAATTGTTTTCCCAAAAATAGACGACTTTATGGTTCCTAAGATAGTTTCGTTGTATCTTGTATGGTTTCGGATTTCCTCATACTGTCCCGTTTTAAAAAACTGTATTTTAATAAAATAAATTTCCGATTACATAATGTTGTCCTTTTTTTGTCATAGTATCGATATAAGAAATCATTTCCTAGATGGGTTTGTAATGATGATTTTTCTTATCAGAGTACAAAGATTTTTTTTAACAAACACCTCGTCTGTATTGTCGATGTAGCGTAGTGTCTGAGTAAAATCATGTCGATGTAACATGTTGTCGGAGTAGCGTAGTGTCTGAGTAAAATAATGTCGAAGTAACATATTGTCGGAGTGACTTAATGTGTGAGTAAAATCATGTCGATGTAACATGTTATCGGAGTCGCGGGTGTCGAAGTTCAGTTTTAGAGTCCTTGATACTGGAGATAATAATAATCGGTTCTCACTACTCAAAGTATATTGAGAGAAAAACGCCTTGAATTGGAGAAATAGCAAAATCAACCATTAAAATAATTGGCAAAGCAATGGAATGCTCTACGGCATCTGTATTTCCCGAAAAGTACAATTTGAGAATGTCCCATCGTGGGTCACATCGTCGCTTAACATCAGGTGAGATTGTGGCCAAGCGTATGTCTATTATATATTATAAAAATACATACAAAAAAGAGCATACAGTCGAATTGAGAACCTCCTCCTTTTTTGAAGTCGGTTAAAAATAATTAAATGTCTGTGAATATAACTATACGAAAGTTATATTATAGAGCACTGTCATTGACTTACAAATAAGCGCTGCTGTACAAAAACAAGGGATTATACGTGGAGTGACAAATAGAAGAGGGGAAATAATGTTCATACTATTATTCCACAGCGGACCATACAAATAAGTTGATATAAAGTTCACGAAATCACGAACGGTTATGTTCGAACTAGATGGTTATGTAACTTTCATATAAATTCCTCACGAGTTACATTCTGGAAATCTCGTTGTTAAACAACACTGAAGTCGCCTATTGGCCCTCGTTTGACGACTTTCCACCAGAAACATTACGTGGATAAATACACACCTCTCATGGAAGAAGAATAAGTGGAGTTGCGTCACAGAAAAATATAACCTTCATCCACTCCAATTCTTGTAACTATAGACTCAGATAATAGTCTCTGTGTTTACCATGCGCTGCGCACACTTGGCGGATGATTACACAGCTGAACCTACTCCGTTTTTGTGCAGTCAGGCTTCGTTCCGAACACTAGGCATGAGCCAAACAGTACCTGAAAAAGTAATTACATTACATTACATTCCGGTAAAAGTGATATTACAGTGTGATATCACTATTATCCACAACATCACATCTAAAAATGAGATACATTTTATGGCATAACCTAAAAACAAAACTGTGTTCCTGGAGGTTACAATAATAGAATGTTATAGCGATAGAATTGCGGTAATCAAAATAATAACTGATGACAAATCGTTCTTGGTGGGTTCCGTCTATATGCCTACGGATTCATACGATAATATGACAATGTTTACGGAATGCTTAAGTATGTTATCTTCGGTTGTAGCAGACAATAGTGAAGTACAAGCAGTATATGTACTAGGGGACTTTTATGCTCAGATTTTTGTACAGAACAACAGTGGATTTGTGCAGATATAGACAAAATTGGTTCAGGCTCTGATACCTACACATATATCAGTGATGTATATGGGTGTAGGAGATGGTTGGATCACTGCCTTGTAACGAACTGTGCGTGGAATACAATATGCAACATTACGGTTATGTATGACGTGTTTTGGTCCGTACATTTTCCTACGCTTATAGAATGTAATATTAATTTATTGAAACCTGTAAAGAATATTTATAACAATTACGTAAATAATAAAATAGTATGGGGAGACAGGCACATAGATCAAATCAATGAATATAATAGGATATGTATCAGTAAGCTGAAAGACATTTACTTGCTGTGACGGTATGTGCGACAATTGCGACCACTTCAAAATTATTGATAACTTGTACAGTAAAATTATTACCACCGTTTCTAAAGCTTCTATCTTGACATCTAAATGTAGTGACAAGTAGGCGTGGAAGGGGTCGCTGTATAGCAGAGTGGAATACATATGTTACTGAAGCTCACAGAGAAGCCAGGTTACAGTTTCAACTTTGGGAGCTTGCAGGAAAACGACCGTATGGTCAGGTTTTTGAACAAATACGTCATACAAAAAAGGTCTTCAAGTCAAAACTCAAGTGGTGTCAGGACAGGCAGGATCAATTTAAAATGACCATTTAGCTCTGACTCATAGAACTACAAAATTTGGCGACTTTTGGAATAAAACTAAACAAATGAATGTAAAGCCAGGCCTGCCTGTTAGTGCGCGGGACAAGTCTGACTGTGGTGAAAATGTGGAGACCTTTAGAGAATATTTCACTATTAAATCGCGGTTAGATGTACAAACTTCTCGTGGGGAAGGCCTCGGTGCTGGGACCGTCGGGGGCAGGCGTATTACACATTTTACCTCTAAAGAGATTAAGACGGTAATTAATAATATGCAGAGGGGTAAGTCGCCTGGTCACGATGGTCTTAGCATTGAGCACTTAAAGTATGCGGGGGTACATCTACCACGTGTTCTCTCTATGCTATTAAGCTTTTGTATGGGCCACTTGTACCTTCCAGAGGCACTCATGAGCACGATTGTTGTACCGGTGACCTATCTGACAAAACGAATTATCGGCCTATATTTCGTTGCCACCATTACCGCCAAGGTACTTAACCATAAGCTGGACACTATACTGGAACGGCAGTTAAAGTTTCACGACGCCCAATTTGGTTTCGGAGCGGGGCTATGCAAAGATAGTGCGATTAGGTGTCTGAAGCATACGGTCAGGTATTACACAGATAGGAGAACCCCCGGGTATGCTTGTTTCCTCGACTTATCAAAAGCATTTGATCGAGTCAAGTACGATCTGCTATGGCAAAAATTAAGTGAGACAGGCATACCGGGAGAATCTGTGGCATTATTTAGGCACTGGTACAGCAATCAGAAAAATCAGGTTAGGTGGGCTAACGCACTTAATAGCTAACATAGTATTATCACAAAATTTGCAAATTAATAATTTATCTCCAAAATTTCGCTATATTGATGTGTCATTCACATACGATTTAATTTCAAAGTGACAAGACAACACTGTCGCTTTGAAACTAGACAGGTAATATTAATATAACTTAAAGCCATTTTGAGATAATACTATGTTAGTTGTCATGTGCCATATTTTATCTGCTGAATACAAACTGGAATGTGGAGTAAGCAGGGGGATTATTTCACCGAAGCTATTTAACCTGTACGTTAACGAGCTGATAGGCGGGCTCAGCAGCATGCATGCAAGATGTTACGTGGGAAGCACTTGTATAAATAACTTAAACTATGCTGATGACATGGTGCTGCTTAGCCCGTCGGTCAATGCGTTCACGCAGATGCTTGAGACTTGTAAGGAGCATGCCATGGTACATGGATTAGAATACAACCCGGAGAAAAGCGAGGTCATGGTGTTTAAGGCGGGTAAAATTAAACCGTATTATATTCCTCCTATTATGTTAAATAGACTTCCGTTGAAGGTCACAGATAAAGTAAAGTATCTTGGTCATATTTTAACAAGTGATCTCAACTATGATCTGGATGTTAAAAGACAGCGCAGGGCGTTGGCGGTAAATAACGCTTTTTAAAGCTTATAGTCAATCTTTTTGCTCGAGCAGCCTGTGGGTTAGGTATACGAAATGAGCCTTTAACGCCCTGCGCTTGTAATATAATAATGCATTTAGAATGCTAATAGGACTGCCAACGTGGAGTAGTGTATCTGGTATGTTTGCGGTGGCTCACACGGACAGCTTCCAGGCCATCATACGCAAAAAGATTGTCTCGCTGATGAGTCGCGTGAGGCTCAGTACTACAGTATTCTAAATGCTATAGCGGGAAGGTATGATTGTCCTATCCTGAAACATTGGATAGTGCAAGTTAAGGGCGTAGCCCAGTTTGAAACATAATTAAGTTGCACTGATTATTACTAACTTTCATATAAGTTCTTTTAGTAACACACCATCATGCGTTATGCGTAATATTACTATCACTTGCATCACACAGACTAAAAATGATATATGTCGTAAACATCACTCCGTGGTATTACCGCTCCTTACTTACAACACTTCGTAATATTACCACTACACATTACATTACGTATCACGCGTACTGTTTCGGGTGATGTTATGAGTAAACATCACTCCGTAATATTTCAATCACACACTACGAGTACATTATCTTGTGATGGGTGTTAGTAGCGACACTTGGCGAGTTGCGCTACTTAACACTACGGCACGGTAAACAAGGTCCCATTAAGTAATACGTGGTAAATTCGCTAGGCGGCGATATTAACATCGATAATTATTTCATATCGGGATCTCCCAATCGCCTAGAGACCGCCCCTACACTGTTTAAAAGGCTATCACGACGACAAATTTTATGTTTACTAGCAGTAGAGGTCCTTGTGAAAGAGTTCGTCCAGGGTAGTGCCACCTTACATATTTCTACTGCCAAGCAATAATGCGAGCTTTACTAAGTTCGGGACTAAATAAAAAAACACATAGCGACAACTAGGGCAAGCAAAAACCGAGTGATTTTGAAAACCGGTTTTTTCGGTTTGTAATTTTCGGTTACCCGGCTATTTGGCTTTATCGGATATTTTATTGTCTCCCAAATAAGTCTTTAAAAGTGTCAGAAAATTACAAAAACATCTAATCAGTGTTTTGTAGATTACATTGTAATGTAACTTCAGTGAACTCAATCAATTTCTCCAATTATAATAAAAACAAATCAACAACAATAATATTTTATAAATGTGGATATTTAGAGCATATATTTGTTGTCACACTACTCGCGTATGCGCATCTCTATCGCCCCTCACTGCACTATAGTCAGGTACCTGAGTTTCTAGCATTAATTAATTAATTTACTGCATTGTCACACTTAAATTATATTTAGTACAGTGGCTTGAAAATGTGATTATATTTAATAAATCAATACAATTATACATGCAAGATAAATTGAGAAGGATAACGGAAGTATCTCAAATTAATTACATAATAAATTATATTTTGTCATTGAAAAATTCTTTAATATCATAATAACTTTTATTTATGAAGAATTTTTTTAAATGTTTGGAGAAAATATTAAATTCTTGTACTTCTTTTATGTAAATTGGTATGTGATTATAAATTTTAGTTACCATAACTTGCGGTCAAGAATAAACTAATTTCAATTTAGAAATCGTACGCGTAGTTGATGTAGGTTTCTGTTGTTACGTTTAATTACTAAAAAGTGTCAGGTAATCACTTTCACCAAAAATAAGAAGCCATTGAATCATGCATACAGTATTAAAAATGGTATATTGGACCGAGTAAGTATTGTTAAGGACTTGGGTGTCATGTTTGATACAGTCCTGTCGTTTAGGTCCCATTAGGACTACATATGCAATAAAGCACATAGGTCGTTATCCTTTATCCTCCGTAACACTAAACCATTCCGAAATTCAGCCTCATTAATATTATTGTATAATTGTTTGGTTAGAAGTATTTTGGAATACTGCGCGCCCGTTTGGTGTCCTATATACAATGT